CGAAGCTTTCGAAACAAATCACCAGCCCTAATTTCAAACGTCAAAAAGATAAGTGTTTCACTTTGAATTTCGATAATGAAACCACATGTCTTGCAGGTCTGGAGAAAAATGGCACGGACGGTGACAGGGATTCCGGACACGGTGGTTCGCCGATCAGAGAAGCGTCGAGCGCCCAGGACACGGATGACGAGTCCAGCTACGCATACGAGGCGCCCACCGCGACGCCCACGAAGAAGAGCGGCAACTTCTGGAGACGTTTCACCATGAAGAATCGCAATAAACGGTAAATCTGCGCGGCAGGAACCCTAAGCGCGAAGAGAGAGAGAGAAAGAGAGAGAGAGAGTGACCGATGTACTTTATTATTCTCCGTCATCTCGATAATTTTTACCAGCGTATAATTAACGAGGCAGAGCTTGCAACTGTGATATACATAAAGCATAAAAACCAATTCATCTTCTCCTCTTCCTCTCCCCCCCCCCACCCCGAGACAATCCAGACCCATCGAATTTTAAGAGGTTCCTGAAAATTCAATCCGTACCGCAAGACCGAGGACCAAGAGATTGAACGTACAAATTTCGGACCAGCGTTTTTATCGTTTGCTACGACATATCACCGGGGACGTATTTATTGCGGACCTTGAAAAACACAGGCATAATATATCTCTCTTGAATCATAAAATAAGGAAAATTCGGATAAGCATTCAATTTATGCCTATTTAAAATACAGAAAAAAGACATATGATTTTCCATTTTGACGAAAATTGATGTTACTTTGCGTTTGAAGACTCAGTTTTTTTTGTAGTGAAAACTAAGAATTTAGATTAGCGAAGATATTGGTACGAATGAAATAATCGCAGTTTTAGCTGCATTTTCCGTGTTCCATGATATATACGGATGTACATTCAAGCTTTGAAAAAAAAAACCCGGGAAAAAAGTTCCACATATAATTTTATATAATTATATGCAAAATATGTCCATATATGTTTCTTTCCTTTGTAAAATAATTCTTTAATACAAAATTGATAATAATAATAAGAAAACAAAAAATAATTAAAAGAATAA